GGTAATAACCTCACGCAACTTAAATTATCGCTTGACCATTATTTTCAGAGATCCTTAAATAAGTATGATATGCACAGTGGTCTGGCTAATCATGATAAAAATGGCATGGTTGATGCAGCATATACATATACTCATGTATATGTAGGTAAACCTAGATGAACTGTGTTCTTGTCACGAAGATCGGAAAGCAGGTACCAGATGTCTCAGTAAGCAGTGTAATACATGTAAGTTACATGATTTTATTTGACATAAACTGGATCTCCACTCACTTTCAGAATTAATCCTAAATTCAGTTGGAATAAGCTTGTTGAGCACATCAGTATTGAGAGAATACAGTGAAAGTAGGTGAACACATGCTTCTTAAGATTAAGTGATACATTTATTTGATATGATTGTATTATCATTAGTTGTCTATCTAAGTTAATGATGAATTCGTTGCGATAATAATACCTATTATTGTTTTTATAGTCACTATGAATATGATAGTTATTATTATTGCTGTCAAGACCTATTATTTGTCATAAAGTGGTTGTCATTTTTGCTAAAATATTTGTACAAGCTTTGGAAACTACTGCATAACTTGTCGTTAAATAATTTTATCATTTCATGATGCTTCGATGGACCTACTAGATATCGACCAACGATAAGTTGCGAAGTCCCTTAAGTTTAGTGAAAACTATTGGGCTACTTATATATATATATATATATTGTTTGTAAAGTGATTACTTGTAAATGCTTATCAGGAAAATTTTTTATTCAGATCATACATGTAATACCCAAGTTAATTATGCTTTTCTTAAACCTTTTCAGACTTATGGAAAAACATATATGTGCCGTGTACGCAGATGGAACTTACTGACGGTAACAGAGGACTACTCATCTGAATTATCTGTACATTTGAAATCTGATTTTTGTTTAATAAACAATTTTTCAATGAATCTGTCTTCCTTCTGTTGTAATGCGATTGTGTTCCAGTAACATAAGTAGCACGTGCTAAGTTAGAAGTTGAGGGTAAACTGTTAGGAGTAAATGCGGCGTCTGGAAAACTTTTGTTTACGTGATTATATGAGCAGATAGCAACGTATCGTGTTCTTTGGCTGATAACCCTAGGCATTCTGTTTTTAATTATTACGATAACCGTAGTTGCACTGAGTCATACATCTAACAGCATAGGTATAGTCTCTCCTTATGGTACACTGCGGCATGCAGAAATCACAAGCAAACTATCTCAGGTAGATTTACTCTCACTTTGTGACTATGAATCGCGAATCAGTATATGTATTCTGCTAAGACGATAGATAACTCGAAACGCTTTATAATCGCAATACCTCCTCTACGATTTAGACATATTTACTTTATTTGACTACAACATAATCTTTTACCAATAGGCTTCTCCGAATATCTGCTCCTACTTAGTATTTCAAAGATAGCCTCATATACTCTATACCTCACAAATTACGCAAGGGCTAATATTCGGTCTTATCAAGTAGAATAAACAAACGAATAACAAGGAATACATTTATTAATGAATTAACATGTAATACAAAATCGACAACAGTGCAGGTATCTTTTTCTTTATCACCCAAATCCATGAAATTCCCGAAAGTAGATATTATCTGAAAAAGAACATAAGAATTATACAGATGTAGACATTGTTATCAGTGTAAACACAATAATTAACCATTAAATATGCTTAAAATGACAAAATAATGATTTGAACTGTATATAATTATGTTAGTCAACATTTTTCAATAATGCAAAGTTGATATTCCATCTGCCTGCTAACATCAAGTTTATGCCATCAAATAAGGAAATACTATGCATATATAATTTTTAAGTATTTCTGCAGATTTTTCTTAAAGAAATACATGTGGAGGAGCCTTGTCAGCATTTATGCAAAGTACACAACAAAGTAAGTGAAATAATTACCAAAACGAGCTATCCCACCTCATCATGTCCATGTGTAATCCATTAAACTGCAAAATAAATTCACAAAAAGTCGTTATAACATGTGACTTCAAGTAATTAGACATTTTCTGAACGGAAAAATTATGTATTTTCAGCAAACTGTAAACTGCCTGTAAGCTACGTCCGGATAAGGACACCACCATGTGCTCTTTCTGCTAAATAGGCCGCATTTCATCAACTTTTAGCAGGAATATAGGTAAAAAAGTGTGAAAAACAACGAAAAATGACCTGACCTTGACGTTTCTCCAATAAATAACGCCAATATCCATCAGCTGATCAAATGACCTACGTCCGTCTACAGGCTAACGTGGCTAACCAAGAAGGAATGAAAAGCATTTGCGATGATGCAGTGAGAGAATATGATTTGGCATGCCAACCTAGCTGGTTTTCAAAGTGAAATCAGCAGTGCTGGCATTTTGACACGATTGATTTTGTAGGCATAAATGAATGTAGTGGTAAAGCTTTAGATAATCTCAAAATAAATTATGATAAAGAAAACAAAATGAATTGGGATGACTGTGAGTAGGTCATCTGTGTACGCTTTCGTGAAACGTAGTTCGTACGGCAAGTCAACCGTCAATTTTTGGAAACTTTGTGCAGCATTCCGGAGGCCAAATTGCATCCGTATAAACTCATACTATCCAAATGTGGTGATAATTGCTATTTTAGGTGTATCTTCTTCAGACAAAAGAAATGTGGTGGTAGGCACAAGATGAGTTTAGTTTAATAAATATTGCGGAACCTCGAAGATTATTGTTGATGTCTCGAAAGTGTGGTACTTGAAACTAGTCTGGGAATGCTCGCCTGTTCAGCGCTCTGTATTTGCCACAAGGACACCAATCAGTCTGATTTTTCTTAAGCACCACGTGTAACGGCGAAGTACACTGAATTTGAGGGTCGAATAATCCTCAGTTGATCTGTTTTATCTAGGCCTATTCTTTGACCGAGAACGTCCCCTATTGGGTGACCTACCTCGTCTGCCCTGAGTTAACTGAATTTGTGCTAGTCGTTCCGTATGTGATCTAATGTTGGCCACTAGTTCCAAGATTATTGAGTCTCTTCTAATGCTCTAATGTTTCAGCTGCCCTCCTTAAGCCGGCCACCGATGCTTTCTCACTGTTTAAGAGGAGAAACAGGATCTTGTGCATCTTTCGCCTGTTGCATACAGTCCGTGAAGGCTTGCGGGCTACCTATCTTTCGTACAGTCTCCACCACTGTGCTCTCTACAAGCTACTGCTGGTGGTGCACCAACTGTGACCGGGAAATACTCCCAATGCTAGCTCCTGGAAAAAACCATGGTGCAGGCTTATCCTCTGATTTGGAGAGTAGTTTCACCACCTCGCGCTTAAGTATTGCGTATGGATGCTTGTTTGAGGGTTGAATTTTAAATTTCCTCACTTTCTTTCTACTCTGATAAGGAAATTGAGAAAACACGACCCTTTACCTGATGGCTTCAGACTGAATACTATACCAGTCAGAGTGGTGCTTAAGTTGACCAAACCATATTTCCAGGTCATGTCAATCGAATTCAGGTAACCTAAATTTGGTAGTGATTAAAGAACTCACCTCCACAGAAACATTCTTTTGAAAGTTAGTTCCCATGTTTGGCAGATGGGGTTCGCATTAACTAATTCATCGACTTCCAACTTGATCTTCCAGATTTTTGTGAGAGCAAGACAGATCGGCAATACTAGGAATAGTGATGAACTAGTCATTCAAGTAAAGAATTATATTTAATAATGGATGTTTATGGAAGAATACGTAGATCAGAATGTAATGATAGCATGTTATATGATAAATGTCTGCAAAACAAAATGATTTCACTGCTCAAAAATGGATAGCGTCGAGGTGAAAACTTAGGGCTTTTTAATTTTTGCAGACTTTTTGCTGGTCATGGTTCAGGAGGATAAGAAGTGCTCATCATGACTACTTCTCAGCCGCAAATATGAATCCACGAATTCCTGGTACAGCAGTCTACAGGATTTTAACGGAAAGACATCTGTGCGTTCACTCTTGAGCTTTCTCTGAAGTTGCGTAAAACATACTAACCTACCATGAAAGGTGCATTATCACTCCCTCCTCCTTAATTAGAATGGATGCCAGTCTTGTAGTAAGAGTCCAAAGATAGACGACAAAATGGATGACTGGTTTCCAGAAAAGCCGTAAAAGAGGGCTGAAGAAATCAGGCTTTTTCGTCATTAGCCACCGTCGGATTAGCAGGGATCTAATGACTGTTTGCGAGACCATAAGTGACCAGAATAAAGCAAACTAAGGCATTCTTCCATCAAGTTATTACGGGTTTCCTTGTGGCTACCCACGAAGGATAGTACATAAGAGAGAAAAGAAGTGAGTGAGCTCCTACTTCTTTTCTAATCAGCTTCTCTGTTCCTAGAACTCTTTGCAAACACTTGTGGGTGCTACGCGATCTGTGTAATGCTTTAGGTGGAGACTGGATAACTACGAGGTCACATAAGGTCTGAGTCCAGATGACCTATCCCCTTAAAACCAACGCACCACACTATTAATCTGAATACAGCTAAACTGCTTCCCATTCTGTCTTGTCCCACTCTAATCATTACTCTACATATTCATCCACTCATTCACGTTTTAATTGTTAACTTTTATCTCCCTACTATACGAGTTTCATTTGGTCTACATTATCTAATAGTTTTGTCCATTATTGTCATCATTATTATTCTTTTCTTAGATCACACTAGACGGTAAGAGGGTTAGAGGAACAGCTCTATCATCCTCAGCGACACTGTCTTAATATCACATACTGCGAACCACATATAACGAAAACCGCCTTACTTCCCTTGGAGTCAACCCACTCTACGGCACTCGAGTGGCGGTACACACTACCGATGATAAGGGAGCTTCCCCTCTTAAAATCAAGGAGTTGGCACTAAGCAGTCAATTTTATTTACACTGGCAGTAGAAATGACATTGGAATATTGGATGTTGGGCAGCGCAAATACAGATGTTGGCGTCCCACAGCGGTCTGCACAATGTGGGCGTTAGAAGAACATGAGATGGGAAGAGGTAGTTTATTTTACACATTTTCGATACTTTTAGATTGCTACTTATCTTATTTAATCGGTCAACTAGGTGGTATTAATTTCGGGGGTTCAGAGTGTGATTTCATGATATCCACTCATAAACATGGGGAGGCTATAGCCGTGATATCTGTTGGCAATGATGTACGTAGATATTTTCTTGTAAATACTTTAGGAGGAATGTCGTTTAATTTTGTCACGGAGATTCCCTGGGCAAGCAATCGTCAATGGTGCACCGCTGTCTATGGGTTGTCGGAGTATACGTTCAGGAGATAGAATACAATTCGTTAGTGCACCGAGCAAACTCTTTATGTAAAGTATTAAATTTTTAATTTTAAAAGACTTAAGCACGTGTATGTTAATCTTCTCTTCTCTTCAATGGGAAAGCAGGCGAAGAAAAAAGCGAAGTCAGTTGCCGCTCTTATCCATGCTAATGTTTTAAGTGAATGGTCAAAAGAGTGTGATCTTCTCGTTATGTCATCTTTGATTGTCACGTCTAAGGTTCTTTGAGTAAAACTCATTTTTATCTTACAGGTTGTATGCGCGTTACTTCATTGCATTCCGATTGTCACACCGGAATTCTTAGAAGAAATAAAACAGATTAGTACATGTAAATTTGCAGCCAAACCGGACCCAGTAAGTCGTAAACTTCATAATCCTACGTTGCTAGCAAAACTTTTTACCTGTCGTAAAAGAGGAAAAATTAACACAAAATGACGCACCGAGATTTTTGCCCAATGAGTTACGCCGTGATTTATTTCATGGGAAAACATTTTTTGTTTTCAGTAAAGACAAAGTTAGTTTACCTACTTTACTTTTATACAGCATGACCTAACGGGACACGAAAACAGATACTTGACACTAGGATATTTTCTGTGGATGTTAAAAACCAGTATTCCAGTTAGCTAACCTAGTGCTACACAATTCGCGAGTAGTTATTGATCATTTTCCCAAGGTTTTCTTAACAAGTTTCATAAAATGCTCTTAGAAAGTCTTTTTCATTCTATCAAAAACTTTCCATTGTAGAAGAGATGAGTGAATTTATGGCTGTCACAATTGTCACTGATAACATATCGAGTCTGTACGTCAACCTATTAGAATGTTTATAGATTCACAGGCTACCTACGTATGCATTTGTCAATACTATATCTTATCGTCCAACATATTTTTGATATTCACAATAACTCTATATTTCGTCAACAAATATGTGTAAAGGTGTCTTATATACTGTATTTAAGTGTTATAAGTCAGTCTAAATAAATATGTAACAATTGGTATTTTCTTACCGATTTATGATTTACAAAATATTCAGAAAATATGTCACTTCAGATTTATTTACATTATGTCTCCAGTTTTCATTATGTTCCTCACACATTCCACAGTTACATCAGCTGTAACTATGCAACGTTGAATTTCGGTTTCTAGTCTCAGTTCTTTTCTTTTTGGCGTGGGGTAGTATATTTTCCCGTACATTTGGGTTGGGTGTTGAGTCATTCTTATAGCAAATATTTCTAGTTGGTTCGGCAAACGAAGCTAGAACTGACCAACTTTAGAGCCTGGTCCTTTTTGAAAATTCAGCCATCTCACCACAAACATGAAGAATAAATGGCTTCTTTTAAAAGCTAAAATAGTCAGTTGTGAGTAATAAAAGTAGTAGTAGTAGTAATTAAGTACTAAACTTCTACTTTAATTCAGACTTAACCTTCATTCTGGTAGAATAGATACACATGAGTTTCGTGGATGCTTTCTTTTTTACATCTACTTAATTGCTGAAACACACGCATATGGTGATTTCCCGCTGGTATTCTGCATCAGTAACTCAGCTAAACCGCCAATCCGCGATTATCCCTGGTTTGGTGCAGGCGGTTAGCAAGTAATACGGTATCTCTCCCTATGTTTGGGTTACTGTTGCCCAGGGACTGACTACTATCTCAACAAGCTTCCAGGAGAATATTACTGTTACCCAATAAATCGAAGTTTTCCACTATGACTGAATGTGGAAACATTGTCCTTCACGCTCTTGATACGTTTATCATTGGATAATTGATTATTTTGTAGCAGTAAATTGGTGATCGTCTAGTGCCATGTCGATATTTTAGTACACATTGGTCAGAAGTATTACTGTGAGTATGGTTTTGAGAAGTGTGATTTTAAAGCCTAAAGTGCAAGCTGAAGCCACACTAGTAAGGTGCATACATATCCAAACTGTTCATCCTAAAGACTCCGAACAAAAACCGATTTTTTTGGTTGACCTAACTTTAAAGTTATCAACGTCATATAATTATCTCCTTTCACCTATATTCTTTCTGTCGATGGTATATATGCTTTAATTTGTTCATTTTCTTTCCGTGTGATTTTACTAAATGTTTCAGCTTTAGTTGATGCATTCTTATGAGGTATTATACGCTGAATTTGTCTATTTAGATAATTTTTATATTTTCGTCTAATAATTTCAAGATCATTTCTAATTAACCTTATCGTAACATTAGCCAGTAACAAGTATCTGAGTGTTAATAATACTTTTTAATCATTGTACGTGGTTGGAGTTTACAACACCGTCAGATGACTCTGACATTTTGTCAAGAATTTTAGCACCAATATGAATTAACCAATAAACTCTTGTTTTCAGTACGATCGTCTTGTGGAGATTATTCATTTGGGGAACGGCAAGATATATCTACTTGATTCGTGTGATACTCTACTTACTTTAGCCGCAGAAAGTGATGTGTATGCTTCTGGAGATTTCGCAGTAAATGATATTCTTCGTGATGTTTTGTCGAAGTCCGGATCTTGTGTTATTCATTTACATCCTACCTCACTCACTCAACAATGGCAGCGCAAGGTGTATTCAGTGCTACGTAGTTTAAATCAGCGACCCATCCTTGAATCTGAATTGGGTTTCGCTGTCATATATTGCTCCACAGAGTTATATTGTAATCCGCGGAAACATTGTCGTAAGTGGCCCGTCTAAATCCCCATTATTGCATTTATACTTTGTTTCGAATACTTAGACACTGTTAGCAGGAATTCTTATTCATAAGCGTTATATGCTTCTACAATATGCCATAGGGAATCTCTGACACTGTGTGAATGTGATTGTGCTGAGACTGAGAACTGACTTTCAAATATTCATACAGTCATGTAAGAGCCTAAGGAGACCTTTCATCTGAAGCGATAGCAAACGGTAGAGTTCGTCTGAGATGCTCAGTGTCCCTGTTTATATTTTACTTCAATATGGACGAACTAATGAGTTCAATACTTGCCGAAATCGTTGTATCAGCTCTTATGGATTGATTACTTATGAAATCTCATCACAGATACCAAAGGCTGGTGAAATGTTTTCCAACATGCACCATCTTTGATGTAGACGGAGTATCTGGTTATCAATCAAAGGCCATGTATGCCGCGCAGCAGTTCACTCCGTCCTTTTTATAGTTACGAGATATAGTTGTTGAAGGGAATGGCCATCTTTGACCATAGGTATCTGCATTCGTGGTAAGTGATATAAAATGGTAAAAGTGATTGAGCAAAGAGTGTAATATAGGGAGGAGATTCAGTTGATGAAGCTTTATCGGTTGAAGTGGTTAGAACCTATGTTATGCTTGTCGAGCTCGTTGAGCAATATCAACTGATGTAGAAGAGTGAGGGTTGATGATTAAGGTACTAATCTATGAAGTCCTTAACTGTTGGTTTCAACCGGTTAGGGGGGTATCAACTATCTGGCTTGGTTCCTCGTGAACTAATAATCAATGATCGGAGATTGGTGGTGACTCCGTCCAAGATGGTTTGCAATGATACAAATGTATTCACTCCTTGAAATCTTCAAGAAGACAAAAATCCTTACCGATCTTCATCTCATTTTTCTTTCATGTATACACCTTTGTCTACCACAGATCCATTATATTTCCTCTTGTTTTCATGTGTGCCTTTCCGAAGAACGGCAGCTTTAAGTAGGTAATTCAGTTTATACAATTTCTAAAGCAGTTTTAATCTTATTCAGAAAATCTAAACAACCAAGTAATGATAATATATAACGTGTTTATGTGAATGTAACAATAAACGTTCTATAGCTAATACTTCAATAAATGTATAAAGTTTCACTTACCTACCTTAAAAAAGAAATCCAGGGTCATTAAGAAAATTTCTTGATGGTTTTTGTTGGTTAATTTTGCCAAAAATTTGTCCTTATTTAGATCTCATTTATTTTCCTATTTTTACTACTTATTGTTCAGCTGATGGACTATATCAGGAAGTCAATGTATCCGAAGCATTTTCGGTAAATCCATTTCAAATTGACTCGGAAGTTCTTACATCACAAACCAATGAATTGTGTAATACGGTGAATGGTCTTGAGGTGTCCAGTTCATTTAAAAAAAAGTGAGTTTGCATTTTAGATGTTAGTTATTATCTTTCTTTTGTACTTGATCATAATTAATTATATCGAATTTCTCCGATATCTCCACTTTAAACTTTGGATCATTGTTGGTAACAACCATCATAGTAGTATATCTAGCCGTGAAGACCGAATTTGTCATCTTAAAACTTAAGGCATAAATAAACTAAATACGGAATAGGCGGATTTCATTAGGTAGAAGTTGGAAGTCTACATGTTCTTTATATTACATTGGTCTCTTATTATCCATGAATAATGTCCAATCCAGGAATTAGTGAAAAAACAACAACAAAACAAGTAGTTTACCGAGAAGATTCTTTTCAATAAATACAATTTCTTGAGTTGTACAATTGCATTTGTTTACAATTTTTTTTACAAGATAGGTTCGTTGTAAAAGAGATGAGTTGTCATAAATCGCAGTTGTTAAATAAGAGTATTATAAGCACATAATAAGATAAATAATTTAGTGTGTGAGTCGTAACAAGGATGCACACAAATCGAAGGAAAATGTGGTATTACACAAGAGTTCAGAAGATATGCAGGACATAAAAGGAGTTTAAAAAATGAACAAAGTTAGAATTCGTGGGCCACTAGATCGGGTTTCAGTGGCTTAATGGTATACGAGCTCACCTTGTAACCACAAGGTCCTGGGTTCGAATCCCAGTGGGTGCATACTGCTGAAGAGTCCCAGAGAGCTAGGACGAAACAGCTGTCCAGTACTCCCAGGTTTTCCAATGGTTCTCTAACTAATGCCAGATCATGATGAAAATCCTGTAACCAATCAAATCCCTACAAACCAACACTTAAATATCAGTTTGTTACCACAGTAGTACAAGTGGTAAAATAATTCTTTTTTGGATTTACAGTTCCAGTTTTTTTTGAATGGCTAGAGATTCAGCATAACTCTATCACCCTTACTGCACTGCTCTTATATATTGATTAATATTAACAACTACGATTTATGACAACTCATCTCTGTTGTTAGCGGATATAGGGTCAGACTGGAAAAAAGCTAGCGGCGGTCAAACAAAAACTTGGCATCAGTCAATGAAATCCACAACAGTTGGTCTAAGCCACGTAGGAAGGTGTAGACTTCCAGGCTGGGGTCCTCGGGACGGTAAAAATCTATGGTTGGAAACAATTGGTGACATGGCTCAAAATCGTTCTCAGTGGCGCAGATGCATCCACTCCCTGTGACTTATGATCTCCAATGAAACTGTTTTGTATTTCTTTATTACTCCTTTGTCTCACACCTCTGCTCACTGTTTCTATTATGCTTTTCTTGTACTTTCTTCTCTTGCTTCGCGTGCTACACGGAATGTGGCGACTTGAACTTCCGCACATTTGTGCAAAGTTCTATGTCGAAAACAGACAGACAGACAGACATCTCTGTTGCAACAAACATCTTTTGTAAAAAAATTGTTTGACAAACGCGATTGTAAAACTAGAGAAATTATATTCACCGAAACGGATTTTTTCGTTAAACTACTTGTTTTTACCTTTTTTTCATCAGTGTTTTACAACACAGTTATGCATAATACCGACACCAATGCTAACACTACTACTATTTATTATTATAATAATAAGCGCTATTACTGTAAGTTATATCAGGTAACTTCATTTTTTTATGGAATTATAATCTACTATAGTGCTTAGATCCTACTGCCGAAATTGGAAGTAACGAAAGTGAAAAAAGGTCAATAGAAAGTAGTCAGTGATACATGTTTTTGAGATGTCTCTATCAATATCTCTTACAAAAGATTATGAAGGTTTCCTAATTGTGATAACACTGTTCGTACATAATTTATCAGACAAGATTGTCACAATAAAGCATCCTCTTTTTCATTTTGTAATACAGTGCTGTGTTATCTTGGTATTACTTCTTTTGTTATGTTACATGAAATAATAGTATTTCCCTTGAAAATATCTTGTAAGATTGTTACAGTGTGCATAAAGTAATGGAACTGTAGTTTGAAAAAATTGTTAAATTACTTTATTTAGCAATCTTCCTCATGCTCAAAATGTCAACCACTCACAAGTAGAATATATCCTGATTTCTATAATGTGAGCAATTCTTTCGGAATATTAGTTATCGAAAATGTGAACCTTTGGTGAAGTTTTTCACCCTTTATTGTGTGAAATTTGTTAATATTTTCTGTTTTTTACATCAAGTTTCTTACTGTTTGTCTTGCAGTGATTATTTTAATTTGATAGTCATAGGGTTCTATGAATAACAAAAGAGTCATTAGGTAAATTTCCCCTATGTACTGAATTTTATTTTTTGCTCGGTAGTTCTGTTTTAAGTGTTGGTGATAAGCGAAATGATATTAATTTTGGATTGATTGTCGATTGAGCTATTGAGATTGTTAAGCAGTAATTAGTAATATTGCGTCGGTGGTATAGCGGTTAGGACGCTCGCCGACCATGCACATGGTCCGGGGATCGATCCCCGGCGACAGACGCACTCCTTTACCTCGCTGAGCCGGAAAGGTTGGGCATGAGGCTAGCAACCCCATCCCGTAAAATAAACACTGCTACAGAAACTTCAAGCCACTGGCTTGAAGCCCTATGTTCCACTGGGGAACGTGAAGGAAAAAAATTAGTAATATTTACTATAATGACCCAATGGTTTGAACTTAAATGTTGGGGAAAAAACGAACAGTTGTATTAGGTAAGTATGTGTGTTAGCACATCATTACTGGATGAAATCGTAGAAATCATGTGTGATCCAATGACTTGAGACATCAGATCTGTCTCAGCATAGAAATAAGTGGAGATGATGGTGCAACATTTTCGCTTCACTCTTAGTATTTGAAGAAATAAAAGGTAACTATTATCTCCATCAATACTAAGCGAATATACTGCACCTTGTTGTCCTGTGACTATCATTTTCTTTCTTTTTTTATATTATATATTATATGTGGCGTGTTCTATAGTGCTTATGATGTGTGAAGATTGTGTCGAAATAAATAAATAAACTCATCCAAGCTAGTATTAAAGTAACAGGTTGGATCTGAAAGATGAAACGTAATCTGGACATGCTCAGATTATCACTTATTGTGCAAAAGATTATTATTATTATGTCATTACCTCTATTTATCGGGACGGTGGCGCCAACATACACTTAGTCAACTAAGGTATCTCTTGCGCATGAGGTTCATCTGTAAAACAATCAGACTTAAAGGTAGGAACTTATATATAAGCGTATCTTTCATAAATTTAAATGAAGAGCAGTTGAATATCTTCTATGCACACTAATGAATATCAATACTTCATACCGAAAAAGTGTATTAGTGTTTTATTTCACTTGTTAAATTTCGTCAGGAATTAGGGATTATTGGAAACCATGGAGAAGCACTGGGTAACTGTTTTGTCCTATTTAAGGATTCTTCCTAAGTGTGTACCCACGACCATACCAGGGATTGAACTCGAGACTTCGGGGTTATGACACGGAGCTCGTTGAACATTCTGCTAATCAGGCCGCAATTCAGTGACCTTTAAATTCGAAATTTATCAACTAGTAATATAACGCTACCCTCACCAATGCTTTCGATGAGCAGCTACTTTACTTTGATACTGTGCACCCCACTAGTTACGACTTCTTACTATAGCTTCAGGGCATCTATACGGTAGTCATCAATGAGCTGGAGCTTGGTATTTAGATTATGGGTTTTGTGACGAAGTGAAGATTCACTAGTCATTGAGTTTCTTCCCAATTAGTTGAATGGTCAATGAGCTTGATCTCGTAATCTGAAGGTATCGGGTTCGATCCTTGGTGGGGTCATCGGTGCACACTTATGGAGAGTCCCTGAATAGGACGAAATGGTTATCTAATGCCCCTCCACTGTCTTCACTATACTCCCTGACTGATGCTGGTCCTTGAAGAAATAGAAATATTGAAATTAAATCAGTCCAAATTCCCACAAATCCCATAACTGTTATGAAATGAACGTATCAGTCCAGTATTAAGGTATGTCCATTTTACTGCGTTGTTTTTTACTGTTTTGATTAAATGATGTTAGATTTGTCAGTTTTTAGCTCGCTTTATGTTGTTTAGTATATGGTAGTTTTTGTACCGAATGCTTTCTTTAGCTCTTCGCTGAAAACTAATAAAAATGAATCGACTACTGGGCAGAAATCAAGTTTGTTTCAAACCACGGAGTCAAACGAGAATAAAGGCAAATCTACTGTCTCTAAAATAGTTCCTTTAGTAACTGTAAGTTTATTGTTTTTTTATATGACTGACTGATTTCACCATACAACTTTGCACAGATGTGCGGCAGTTCGAGTTGCCACACACCAGGTAGCACCCAAACCAAGAGACGACAGTAAAGGACCGATTCACAAGAGTGATAAGAAACAGAAGTAGGAGGTGAAAAGAATAGCAAGAACAATGGAATTTTACTGGATATTATAAATCACAAAGAGTAAATGCATCTGCGCCACTGATAACGATTTTGAGCCATATCACCAATTGTCTCCAGCCATTGGTTTTTACCATCCCAAGGACCCCAACCAGCCAGGAAGTCTACACCTCCCTTCCTGGCTTAAACTATCTGCTGTGGATTTCACTGACTGATGAAGCCATGTTTTGGTTTTACCACCTTTAGGTCTTTTCCAACCTGATCATATGTCAGCTAACATTGCTCGTTGAGGAGGGCGATGGCCAGGCGTATGTAACATGTTCTAACCATCACAATCGATGTAACTTCACAACTTCAGTGAATGATTTCTCCTCCTTACCTGGCACTCGATCGATGCCTAACCTCAATATTGCTCATCCTGTTACACCTACCACCTAAGATAGGAGATAGAATGCACACACCTAAGGTTAAAGAGTTTATTTTGTAATCTAATGAATCAAATATTCACATACCTGATAACTTGATTTGTTAAAAACCTATGTGATATGTGGTTACTTTCCAAATGTTTCAAACTTTGTTTTAATAAACTCAAGTAATTTAAGGTGAATGTTTGCTGATTGTTATCTGAATGCACCTTGTCTAAATATAACTTTCTACTGCAATAAAGTTAGTGCCTACTTAGACCAAGAGTCAGTCATCATCTATGAACGTAGACGCTTAAATTAACCAACTCATTCTGTACATATGAGTATTATACTACTTATTTCACTGTTCGTATGATTTATCTCGTTTCAAGACTTCTTTGATGTACCAGTACTAAGGTGGATAAATCAGTATCCCTAACTCACTTCAGCAACTCAGGGATTGACTTGCTACCAGAAAATAATCTCGTTGATTTAGAATATGCAGACGATATAGTCCTTCTAGGCGGGGACGCTGACAAAATGCAGAGTCTTCTAAACACCTTGAGCCGCAATCTACGAATGTTTGGCATGCGATTTGCTCCCGCCAAATGCAAGATGATGATACAGGACTGGACTACATCGACTCCTAGAGTGGAAATAGGGAGTGAAATAGTAGAGCACGTTGACCGCTTCATTTACTTGGGAAGTACCATCAGCCAACGCCAACGGGTTGATCTCTGACGAAATCTCAGCACGGATATAGGGGGCTCGTTTCGCATTTGCCAGTTTACGCCGTCTCTGGTGTAGACGTGATATCCGGCTGGCTATCGACCAAAGAGCGGGTGTACTGATCATCAGTCCGCTCCGTCCTCCTTTATGGCCAGCTGTGAGACCTGGCCATTGAGAGTGGAAGACATGAAAAGATTAGCTGTCTTTGATCATAGGTGCCTGCGTTCTATCTCCCGTGTGAAGTGGTATAGTAAGGTGAGCAATATTGAAGTTAGGCATCGAGTGCTAGGTAAGGAGGGGAAATCAATTGACGAAGTCGTGAAGTTACAAAGACTGAGATGGTTAGGATATGTGTTACGTATGCCTAGTCATCGCCTTCCTCGATGGGCAATGTTAGCTGACATATGATTAGGTTGGAAAAGACCTAAAGGTGGTAAAACCAAAACATAGCACCAATCAATGAAATCTACAACAGTTTGTCTAAGGCACGTAGGAAGGTGTAGACTGGCTTCCTGGTTGGGATCCTTGGGACGGTAATAACCAATGGCTGGAGACAATTGGTGATATGGCTCAAAATCGTTATCAATGGCCAGCGCAGATGCATCCACTCCTTGTGACTTATGATTTCCAATGAAACTGTTTTGTTCTTCGTTATTACTCCTCCTTTGTCTCACACCTCTGCTTACTGTCTCTAATATACTTTTCTTGTACTTTCTTCTCTTGCTTTGTGTGGTACATGGAGTGTGGCGACTTGAACTTCCGCACATCTGTGCAAAGTTCTATGTTGAAAACAGACAGACAAATCGGATAAATCAGTATAACAGAGTACGTGGACTTGAAATTGTGTTTTATTTTCAAAACACGAAACTCATAGGCCATTGAATTGGGTACCAGTGGTTGAATAGTGTACAGGCTTTTCTTGTAGACGAAAGGTCCTGGAGGCGACCCTCGATGGGGATGCATGCTACTTAAGATTCCCGAACTGAAACTAAACTTCTGTCCATTACTCTCTGGTTTTCAATGGTTCTTTATCTGACTTGAATTTGAGATCAAACTTGAAAACTTTTACGCAAGAATACATGAACTTATAGTTTTCAGTGCTAAATATGTAAAAGTGGATATAAGTATATGTTTATATTAACAAGAAATTGTTATTCAGCATAATAAGCAAATCTCAGACATCTTAAATAAATGCATATTCCTCATATGTAGTAAGAAGAGTTATCCAATTTTTTCACAATGTTAATTTGATTATTTATCATTACTTTTTTATGTGATTATTTTTCATTTTTTTCTAATAAAAAGGTGAAAATTTTTTGAGCATCTGGTGTTATTAGATAAGCTTAGTCAATAAAGCCCACAATGATACCTTATTATCTTTCTATGAAGTCACTCAGACACAAGATAACTTAAGCTGCCAACTGCTGTATAATGACTGTAGTTTCGCACACTTAAGTCAGACTTAGCAGTCGGTGTCATTTAAATTGAGATGAAGATAAAGGTGCCAAATACATCCGCTGCACGTCTCTCGACTTCACTTCTGCTTTCGACTTTGTACCTAGATGTGTCTTGCTAAATAAGCTCTCCATGACACAAACTGAGTCCTAGGTCACTAACTGGTTGCATTCCTACTTTTCAAACAGAATGCAATATACCGTATACCAAGGCAAATCCTCCTCTGCTGTGCTCACTGAAGCTGGTGTCCCCCAAGGTGCTTTCCCCACTTCTCTTTTCTTTCTTTCTGCATGACCTACCATCTTCAAATGACATTAATTTTGTCAAATATGCTGATGACCTAACTGTATGTTTGCCTGTCAAATGTCAATATGACTGTACTAAACTAAACGGCTTTCCATCATAAATCAGCCAGTGGTTCAAGGAAAACGGTCTTACCTTAAATGCCTCTAAATGTCAAACAGTCAATTTCACCTTTAGGTATAAATCTGACCCAAACAAACTGGTTAGCACTCACGAGGTGTGCAACATAGATGGCACTGAAATAGAAACCAAGTCGGAATCAAATTCCTAGGCGTCATTCTATCTGCTGATCTTTCTTGATCGTCTCATATCTTGATGATTTCTAAGAAAATATTCCGTCTTACCTTCTAGAAGACATTCTGGTATAACCCAACCCTTACTCCCACAATTCGTTAACTCCCGTATTCTACATATGATTCTCTATTGTTCCTCCTTAGTTTTTCCTGGGCTACTGAAGAAAGACTATACCTTATTACGCAGGATGTTAAAGGTTGTCAGCAAGGTAAGCAACGTGCCACTTAACCAGCTTGTTAATATTCTCGTTGACAGGCACATGGACTCATGTGAAAAATCCATTTTATCTAACTCATACCACCCTCTTCATTCACAACTCTCCCCTTGTATCTCATCAGGCAAACCAGAAGCCTATATAGAAAATTATATGCTTGCAATAAGAAGTACAAAAACTCAACCATACCTTACTTAGCTCTAGTTCTGTGCGATAAAGAAAGCATTAGGCGTGATACCTACAACTTATTAAATAGTCAGTAGAGCAACTGGATCTCGTCTTTACAGCTGATATCATTTATAGGTACGAAGTTTTCTTTCTTTCCTTTCTTTTTTTTTACGTGCTGCTTTGTTTCTCTCTTCCTTACAAACTCTATTAAAAACATTCTTCTTAGTTCTTTCACACTCTGTATATCTCGACCTTTTGTTACAGCTTACGCCAATAAATATGCTAGCATCTACTTTTCTAACACCTTCAGACAATCTGTTCAATTTTGGCTTTGCTACTGACATGCTAATATGTTGTTGTCAAAACTGAGATTACCCTTAATTTATGTAGAATTTTATTTTATTGTTAATTTACCAACAACTGTATGGAATACTGTTGTAAAATGGTGAGAATTTCATTCTGTATCACAAGTACTGTTTTGGAATAAAGCTATTATCATTATTATAAATTATCACAGTATAGGTATTTGGTTGAATACACAATATTAAATCACACATACAAGTAATTTATATCAATTTACAGAAGATCTCAACTACTAAAGCGTGGGAGCGAAATACACAGTTATACACTGGTGATGGATGAGGTCACCATACTAAAAAGCAGTATAATTAGATTGAGAGACAGATTCTTAACTGTTTCTGGGGCATTCTTTTACTAATACTATGCAGCCATCTTGCTTTGACTATGAGCATCAAATTTGCCTAACACAGTAACATTGTGCAGTAAAAGGTGTGACTTTATCTCGTATTTTATCACGTTCTATTACACTGCCTAAATTTTTTTTTTACGTTTTAGCAGAAGGGAATCATAAAATATTTTTTTCAGCCTATCTTCTGAATATTGAAAATGTTGCTCAGTAATGAAGCTAACTTTTACTTCCGCTGAATATTTCAAGTTAACCTTAATTAAACTGACTCACTAATTTTTGTAGGAGTTGTTATGTTGTCATAACTGTCTGTATTCTAAAACTTTCCAAATAAAAAAGTAAGTAACTCATCTATATACAGGAAAAACGTGGAATATCAATAACTACAGTAGTATTTTAGTTTATCATCATGGTAGCCATCGTGCTTAGTTTTAACACGATTTTTATCTGATATGTTCATCGTTAGTTATAGCAAATAAGTTAAATGAAATTGTGAACCAGACGCAATAATAAATAATCAAACTAATTCGGTGGTCTTGGTGGGTAATGCTTCGGTATTTGAAATGATAAGTGCTGTGCCTGCATTTCACTTATAGAAGAACATCATTATTCACTTGAAGCACAGACATATTCAGCTGACAAGTCCTGCGTGGGACGAAATACACATCCCGGATTCCACTGCTAGTCACTGTCAATCAAATATGATCCACTTATCTTTTCAAGTATTCGTTTTTGTAGGGATTTCGTTTGATTGGTTGGAGGATTTCATCATGAGCTGACATCAGTTAGAGAACCATTGGAAAACCTGGAGCGAGTACTGGACAGCTGCTTCGTACTAGTTTGAGACTCTTCGACAACACCTACCGCCAGGGTTCGAACCCAAGACCTTCAGGTCACAAGGCGAGCTCGCAGACCATTAACCCACTGGGCCCCAATCCAATGACCCATTAATTCTAACTTCTGCCAATTCATAACATAACGCGACCACTTCGCAATGACTTTGATGAGTTACTACCTCACCTTCAACCTTCTGTACCTTACTGGTCACAGCTTCCCACAAGAACTCCTCAGGTAACTGCTTGACAATGATAAGTTGGTTCTATTTGATAATTTTCATCATACTCTTCAAAAGTCATTCTGTGCATTGTTTTGATTTAAAGCTGATATATGATAAAGCTGCAGTGAGCTGATGGTGATATCAAAATACTTTCCAATGCCTATAACAAAGTTGAATTTATGTACTAAGTGTTTAAACAACTCGAACTTCATAGTACATTTAAAATATGCTGAAAATGTTAACTAAAATATATCGATCACGTACTTCCTGTTCTTAAAATGCTAATTTCTGTCGTGTTTTATGCTTTAAGGGATTATCAGTTAATATTCGTAGTGTAATTTCGCTTCTTTTTGTTCTTGACAGCCTGAACGCAAAACTCCAGGGGGTTTGTTAGTGCAGGATTCAGAACCAGCATTTAGTCCAAAATTTGCTAACGGATCTCGATTTCCACCCATGGGTTCCGAAAATCAAGAACCTCACAAACCAGAAACGGTTTCAAAGAAGACTGCTATCATTTCCAATACTGGTAATTTATTCATCTTCCCTATTGGTTTTTCAATTGGCACATATATTATCTTCGTTTTTCTGAGGACATTACTGGACCTACTACTTGTTCTTATTTCCTGGTAGCACACATCACATTTTCAGGAGTGAAATAGTCATTTCTGTTGAGTAGTATAGACGTTTATGTGGTTCGTTTATTGCTTCATTAACAGACATTGATTTAACTGATTATTCATTGATATAAGAATAGAACTTGTGCACTGTGGTAGAGTATTACTGTATAACACTGTAGGACTTTATCAAAATAAATTTTACCCAATAATTGAATTAACTTATTAGTGTTTGCTGTGCAGTAAGTGAGAAAGAGCACTTTATTTCGTTGTTATTTTTAGTATCCCGCTCTTATCCGAATATCGATGAATATAAAAGTTTATTGTAAGTTGTTCATTAAATTACTAAATTTGCATACCCCGTCTTCCGTAGGTCTGTCCGGATTAATTAACTCGATAATATCCACTTACTTAATATGGCTTGTGTGAAGGCTTTCATTTTATATCAACTTTATTTTTTACTATATATATACACATCATTTCTATCATTTTGTTTCCCAGAATCTTCATTCGTTCATCAACCTTCAGAGCACAGTGATTATGTCTTAAAATTATTTGATAGTATACCTCGACTTGAATTACCAAAGAAGAAGTCTGTGCTGTCAGAGTCAACAAATAAAGGTCAAAGTAGTGTAGTACAGTCTTCCCCCCGCTTATCCAGTGTTAATTGTGGCCGTGAGTTAGATTCTGTTCAATGTGAGTTATCTGCATCGTGTAAAGATTCAGTTTTGCCTGTTGTCGCTGAAAAAACAGATTCAAGTGATGCAGGAAATTGTGGACCTAATGATGCTCCTTTGAAACAGTCGGACAGTGATAAAATGGTGTCAGACAAACTTGGGCGTTTGTTAGTGCAAGATTCAGAACCAGTATTTAGTCAAGAATTTGTTAATCAATCTCGATTTCCATCACTGGGTGTTGAAAATCAAGAAACTTACAAATCGGAAACAGTTTCAAAAAAGACTACTGTCATTTCAAATACTGGTAATTTATTCTTTAAAAATTCTGAGTTTTTAGTTGAACTGTGTTGGACAGAAGTGCTCGGTCCAATCGATCGACGAGAAAGTCTAAAACTCAATGAAATAATTAATTAATGACCCGTTGCACAAGAGGTGGCTCTGGTGGCCCAAGTGGTCTAGTGGATAACGCTTTGTTCGGTGGGAACATCATCACTAACTGTGGAATGCAGGTACATCCAGATGACGAGTACCAAATAGGAGGAAATGCGCATCCTGGATTCCACTGCTAGTCACCATCCACCAGTTTATCTCCCCAATGTTTTTAATTTCTCGCATTTCTTCTTTATTGGCTTCTCTATTGACACTCAAGTTATCTTCGTTTTCCTGAAACCGTTACAGGATATAGGTAGCACACATCCGTCCTTCTGAGTGGTGTAGACCTTTATGTGGTTCGTTTATTTTGTTTCACTGCTGTGCACTGCTTTGCTGATTACTATTAGTTGTGGCAATAATCACTATAATTCATTCATACTATTAGTATTTTGACCTAGTGAATGTTAGCGTAAACCTTTACATAAGAGCGCAGTTCAAGTTACCGCACTCCATGTAACACACCAAGGTAGAATAAGGAAGTATTCAAAAGATGTATATTGAGCAGAGATGTACAGAAGAAAGAACAGTAACATGGGGAAATACGTAAACTAATTGTGTCTGGCAGACTTCAGAAAGTAAATGAATCTGCACCATTGACAATGATTTTCAGGCGTCACCAGGTTTTAGGTCTTAGCATCCTGAGGACCCCAACCGGGCAGTCTAAACCTCCCTACGTAATTGGAACCTGTCGTCAAAGACTACATGGATTGATGTCTCATTTTGGTTTTATCACCCCTAATTCCTTTCCAACCTAATCCTATGTCAGCTGATATTGTCTGTCGCGGAAAGAGATTGCTTGGCGCTCGCTACTCTTGCTCTAGCCAACTCAATCGATGTAGCTTTACAAACCCATTGATCGAATTACCCAACGCCAAACCCAACCTCAATAATACTCACCATATTACACCACTTAACACAGGAATGTTATAACGGAGTGTTACTAGGTTCGTTTAAGTTAACTAGAATGAGCCTCCATACACAACATTATAATCAACTCATCACTTGAAAATATCCCTCACACTGAGTCATATCAACAAGAACTGTGACATTCATTAAATAAAATACATGGTATATCATACTTGCAAAACCTCAAGAATTTAAGTCGTATATAAATAAAGCTGATTGGTCGTATGACTTTGCAATCCCTCATAAATAAATGAATCAAAAACTATCCAATCAGGTTATCATATCAGTGAATGCATAAATCATGACAGCACGGCTAACAAAGAACCTCATCCATCCTAATAGTAAATGATTCATTATATTGATAAGTGGCATATTTTATCTTTCATAGGCTTGTTGAATTAAATTAACTCATGCATTCTCATTTACTTAATATGGTTTGTGTGATGGTTTTCATTTTATATCAACTTTATTTTTTACTATATATATACACATCATTTCTATCATTTTGTTTCCCAGAATCTTCATTCGTTCATCAACCTTCAGAGCACAGTGATTATGTCTTAAAATTATTTGATAGTATACCTCGACTTGAATTACCAAAGAAGAAGTCTGTGCTGTCAGAGTCAACAAATAAAGGTCAAAGTAGTGTAGTACAGTCTTCCCCCCGCTTATCCAGTGTTAATTGTGGCCGTGAGTTAGATTCTGTTCAATGTGAGTTATCTGCATCGTGTAAAGATTCAGTTTTGCCTGTTGTCGCTGAAAAAACAGATTCAAGTGATGCAGGAAATTGTGGACCTAATGATGCTCCTTTGAAACAGTCGAACAGTGATGAACGGGCGTCAGATGGATGGCTTCGGAAACGTGTAGGTGTTGAAACTGATTCCGTAAGTTCTTTATTTTAGATACGTTTACTTATACAATGTAGAGTATTGCAATCAGATGGTTAGTTTGTAAGCTGATTGACGTTGAATTTCAAATGGATTTTAATTTTTCACTCGTGATTTCAAATGTGATAATGAAACCAAAATCTTGAGATCTATGAACTTGCTTTTTCGTGTTCAAAAATACCTATCTGTATGGCTAAATAAAAGTTTAATGGAGATCAACAGCAGTTCGATATAGACTACTTGGTCCAAACACGCCATAAAGTTGGCATAGAAGAGTCTTATCCTATTATCTCTCGGTATTGAATGTTCTAACCAACAGAGGCTATTGCAGTTCGCTTAGGATAATGATTCTCGGACTGCAAAACGAATACCTCCAGCCACTATTGCTACTTCGGCCTACTGTGGAATCTGTAAATTCATAAATACTGCATTACTTCGCACCTTTTAGGTGTGAATTTCTGTCTCTTCACTTACACACTGACATAAACACAATCTGCTACACCATTTACTCTCCCTGTTTTGATGTTATCATTCACCTATATGAAGTTTATAATCAATATGAGTAGAATTCAATATGAACATTAGTCACGACCGTTCACTAATATATATTTGTTTTTATTCATGATCATTTAGTTAAGAGAACTAGTGTTCAGTTTAGTGCTACTTGCATGCATATTATCACATGCACTAGTTTTGAACTATCATCTATTCGCATATCATGTGGATATATAACTGTAAAGCTTGATGAAGTTATCGAGAAGAATATTCTTTGTTCAGTAATCAGTCTTTTGAAATATCTATTATTCATCTTACCATGACGTAACATGAGTGTATCGTTACGTTCGCGATGGCTTTGTTGGTTAAATATAAACTGCTACTACACACCGTAGGTCTTACTACACGATGTTTGGTCAGCGTAGCATTCTGTTTTCCCAATATTTTGCTGTAGATGCGGGTGAAAAAAAAGAGATTTTGTACACCACGAAGGAAACAACTTAAAGAAAAATAACTTGGAAGTCGGTTTGTAGACTAGTTTGCGAATGAATCGTACTCATCGTCTTAAGCACTGACCACATACGGTCCATTTATCAATGTCCAAAGTGAAGCGACAGTTTTTTCAGTTTAGCCATTTCACCTCCAGTTAGTGAGCCACACATTTGAGCGCTGCTAAACATGTCTAGGCTTGGGCCACCAGGTAACACTGTCAGAATTCATAGAATAGATATGGCTCATTGCTAAGTGTATATAAATGAAAGCAGTTCTCAGGTGAAGCGAACTAGACTTGTGGTGAGAGCTGGCTACTAGGCAAAATTGGTAGACAGTATTTTACGTTTATGTCCCCAATATTGATCGTGAGAAAAATATGAACAAAGACTGATTCAACAACCAACCACAGCAGATTTTGCGTAGGCCGATAAAGTTAGCATATAGATGATCTGACATTCAAGAAACAGCCACACAGAGATGAAAGATTAACTTTCAGTGAGAAACAACCAATCAGAAGACTGTGTTTGTTTGCTTAAATAATCTATAAAAATGTATATGAAAATATATAAATATGTTAATATTACAAAACTAGTTGACGGAGTTCTTGCTACAATATTTATGCAGTCGATATTTCACTCAAAAAAACACGGGATGGATACTCTCATCTCATTAGTTTCTTCCTTATTCAGCATGATTATTTTTTAACAAAGTCATTTTTCAAGAACTTGTAGTATTTGTAATCGTAGCATACTGATTGACGAATAACAGTACATAAATCCTTTTAAATGACTTAACTGGTGTCGTGAGGACTTCATACTAAAGAAAATGTATTCATTTTCAAGATAGGTACCGTAAGAACCATTCTTGTTTGGAAACGGTTTTAAAGAAACTTCGAAATGATATACCATTTAACAAAAAGATAAACTTTAGATTTTTGTATTATTGACAATTTGAATATTGCCATAAATACAGTGTCCTAAAAAATCATAGGGTTGTTGCAAAGATAGAGCGTGTTAATTATTACTGAATTTTGGAGTATTGGTTCTTAGCGTTTAGTTTGCTTCTTGTATTGCCATGATAGCTAATAAAAATCCAAGTTTAGATTCCCTAGTTATATATTAAGAGTAGTCATGTACTCTAATGTTTGCAATTGTGTACTCAACAATATTTTCCAAATAATCCTCAACAGCCACTTACATTCCCATTCAGTTGGCTATGAGGTACACGTATGGCATGCAGGCTTATGACTGGATAAACCTCTGTAGGTCGGGCAGGGTTGGAGCCCGTGGCCCACTGGTTGGAAGTCGGGCACCTCAACCAATGAACTACAGCTCCATTCTGTCAAAAGTGATATAAATGATATTGCATATTAACTACAGTCTTTGGGCTATTCCATCCTTTCAGAAGTTTTATTCACTAAGTTATATCTTAAAATTGCGAGTGAAGTTAGCTGTTTTTTTACCTGGATATAGCCGGATAACAACAACCAATGTGCAAAAGTCGCTCCTATGACCATCACAACTAACGTTCCAAAGTTCATTGCGAGTACCCAACAAAACAATAAGAGAAATTTCAAACAATTTGTTAAAGTAAGTATATCATTCTATTGTAAATGTGGAAAATTTTCTGTGTGATTAATTTTATTTATAATTTGAGGAAATTAGATGCAATATTGTGATTAATGCTGAAAATTCCATTCTGTATCACAAGTACTGTTTTGGAATAAAGTAAATCATTATTCGCCATCAGTGTACTGAATTTATTATAGAGCATTTTCAAATTGACATTTTTGACGGACTAAAATCTCGAATTAGAAATTCTCGCAAAAGCCTAGCAGATGAAGTTGACACGCTTCCTGAAAGCATACATGAAGACAGAAAATAAAATCCAATGGAACTAAAATGAACAGGAGCCAAGATAAGTACTTGGGAAATAGTGAGGATTTTGGTAGATCTAGGAGTTCATTTTGAGAGAATTCATCCACGTCAGTGAGAACGATAGTCTTCAGTCATTGCTCTTTAAGACCCCAGCCATGTAGTCTGACCCCCCTCTCCAAGCTGAAACCAATAGTCAAAGACTTCATGGGTTGCAGGATGTTTTGATTTGACCAACCATAATGTTTCTTCAACCTAGATCTATGTCAGTTAATATAACTCGACTAGGAAAGTGATGGCATGGCATGTGAAATGTGTGTCCTAACTGTCTCAGTTGATGCAGCTGCAGAGTGTGCTGCTGACAAGATTTGCCAGCATATAGACGCAGGTGGATAGGAAGCAGCCAAAATTGAAAAAAAAAATTTTAAGTCAATGACTGCAGGGGTAGAAGTATTTATTCCCTAAATCCAGTTCTAGTTTACGTTGTGATCAGGAAATAACCTCACCAGACAACATTTCGTTTCAAGGTTCAACCTTGGGCAAACTGACAACCAATCAGAACAGTCTATTGTCCACTGACCTAGCCGACCTTTAATGTGGTTCAGAATGTATAAATAAGGTGTGCTTGTCCTTAATAAAAATGTTCGTTACCAAGTTTTTGTTTTCTCTCGTTATACTACGCCTAACTTCAGTATTACTTATCATATTATACCACTTAACATGGGAAACAGGATGCAGAACATCTGTGGTTGGAGACAGTTAGCCTTTTCATGTGTTCCACTACTATCGACCATGTCGCGCAAAAAACCGGAGTTCCAAGTCTTTTGATCGATAATTAGATATCACGTCTATGCCAAAGATGACTTAAGTTAGCAAGTGTCAAACAAGCTTTTTGTATCCGTATTGAGACTTCGTCAGAAGTCAGTTTATTAGGGTTGGTGCAACTTCCTAAATAAGGGAAGTGTTCGACACACTCAAACACTAGGAGTCGTGGCAGGCCAGTCCTGCAACAATGTCTGATATATGACAGTGGTGAATTGCGTGCCAAACATTTGAAGATTTCTGCCTAATGTGTTCAGAAAACCGCATTTTTTCAGCACACATTGAAATCCTATCTACCTTACAATTTATTTACTATTGGACAGCTTTATATAATAAGTAGTGCGTCGGTGGCACAGCGGTAGAATGCTCTTCAACCGTGGACGTGGTTCGATCCCTGACCGATGTACTCATAAACCTACCTCAGCCTGTAATAAGACTGATAAAGAGGGAAGGTTGGGCGTGGGCTAGCAACCCCACCCCGTATAAATAAAAACCACTGCTACCGCAACTTCAAAGCCCTAGCTTGAAGCCCCATGTTCCACTGGGGAACGTAAAGGTTTAAATAATAATGATAATCCACATAAGTAAATCATGGAATCGGTCATTTAATCGATTTAAAATATCCATCTCTTTTTCTCTTAGTTATTGTCATACGTTGTGAATTAGAAGTTATTTTCACTTCCAGGTTTGGCCAACCCATCTTCGTCGTAATACACAGCTGAGGCCTAGTATTCATCCTTGTGTATCAAGACCTATTCCTCTAGCTCCTTTTCACCAAACACTTGAGAAGAAACGTGAAGAATGTAAAACTATTGTCAAGTCAAAAAACTCATCAGAAGATGAGAGACGAGAAAGAATAAACAAGCTATTTGAGTGAGTGCTTATAAGCTAACTTAGTCGTACTAATGCAGTTATTTTGAAATTAACCTCTCTTAAACTTTTATGATGTCCTAAAATAAGTAAATATATATCGCACTATGAACAGATTCTCAAATCAACAAATCTATCTGGAAATATTCCCACGTTCAAACTAGGGATTAAAGAGTAATTGTAGAACAATTATTCAGTCATTCCTCTTCTCAGTATTAGATAACTTCGCCATCAGTACCTGTCTGTTAGAGCTTAGTAACAAGGTAATGTCATTAGCATTAATACTATCAGTTTTTCAGTATGCACATATAACAACTTATTCAGATTTTTGACCATAGGAATGATGGAGAAGATTTATAGTTCAAGTGGGTAATAATAATGTTGCTGTGTTCTCTGGACTGGATGGTTTAATTTCAAAGTTTTCATCACCTTTCTAGACAACATCTTCAGTCCAGACTTCAGTATGAAATGGCCTTCTAGATTTCTCCATGAGTTTAATTCACCGTCTCCTCTGGTGATTGTGAAGGTGGTTGTTTGTCTCTGTAGATTTTTTCACCTTCTTGTCCCATTGTATTGATATTGGTTATTTTGTTGACCCCTTGTCGACATGACTTCTTGTTTGATAAATCTGATCTATATCGATGTGTCTGTGAGTTGCATATTTATCTAAGCACCAGGCTTTTAGGAATTCCATGGCATTTTTCGCCTAAGGAACCATAAAAAGTTGTCTTCGCACGTATAGAGAACATCTCTAAAATGACTTCAAGAATATTGAGAGATTTAAGAATAGGTGTCGTGTGCAAATCATTTCAGTTTGTAATGTCGTCTGCTGTAGTGAAAAAGTGGTGTCTCTCAAGAACGTGGTGTCTTAGCAAATTCGGCTTCTGCCTGATAATACTAGTTCGCAAACATTTTGTAAATAGTTTTGTGTCAGCTGTACATTTATTTTTGTTAATCAGTTGATCTGCGTAAGGAATACTATAATCATACAAGATGTGCAGTGCCTTCAAAGAAACAGTAATTAACTAATAACCTTTATAAGTCAGTGTATTTTTTCTGTGTAACCATAACTTTTTAAGTGGATGGATTCTTTTTAGGTAGAGTAACTCAATTTCTGTAACTGCAATAAGTAAATTAGCTGTTACACCACTAACCAGAGATGTACTACGTTTTTGTTTCAGAGAATGCTGCGAGCCACCACCTCTGCGGAAGTTCCGAACAACCATCGAGGTCTGAGTCTTTGTAATTCTTGGTACAGAAATATAAACATTGTTGCTTCTAGAATGGTTTTTATTACTTAATGAATCGCTGAATGCCATGTGTCTTAATAGTTGCGCTCAAATTATTATCATTGGTAGGTTTCTGTGGCTGATGAATTCCATTAGGAAAATAATTAAAGGAAATTCAATCAGTTATTCTATACAATAGTGAGTTGTTTTTGAATAATAAGCTGTCGTAGCAGTTGCTGTTCTGCATACTCGCATTCCATTCATTGATATGTGTTATGTGATCGTAAGCATTGTGATTATTGACTTAGAATATACAGATGACATAGTCCTTCTAGGTGAAGGCGCTTAAAAAATGCAGTCTTCTGAACACATTGAGCTGCGATCCGCGTATGTTTGGCATGCAGTTCGCTCCCGCAAAATGTAAGATAATGATACAGGACTGAACTTCATTGACTCCTAGCTTAGAAATAGGGAGTGAACTGGTACAGCACGTTGACCACTTCATTTATTTGGGAAGTTGGCATCAGCAAGCCCTAACGGATTGATGGCTGACGAATTCTCAGCACTGATACAGAAGGCACGCATATGCCAGTTTACGCCATCTCTGACGTAGACGTGATATCCACCTATCGACCAAAGGGCGGGTGTACTGCTTGGCAGTCTGCTCCATCATCCTTTATGGTTTTAAGATCTTGCCATTGAGAGTGGAAGACATGAAAAGGCTAGCTAGCTATCTTTGATGATAGGTGCCTGTATTCTACCTCCCGTGTGAAGTGGTATAATAAGGCGAGCAATATTGAGGTTAGGCGTCGAGTTCTAGGTAAGGAAGGGAAATCAATCGACGAGGCTGTGAAATTAAATCGACTGAGATGGTTAGGACATGTGTTACGTATGCCTAGTCATCGCCTTCTCGACGATGGGCAATGTTAGCTGACATATGATCAGGTTGGAAAAAACCTAAAGGTGGTAAAACCAAAACATAGCACCAATCAATGAAATCCGCAACAATTAGTTTAAGCCACTTAGGAAGGTGTAGACTTCCTGATTGGGGTTCTCAGGACGGTGGAAACCAATGGCTGATGGTGCAGATGTATCCACTCGTTGTTACTTATAATACCCGATAAAACAATATTGTTCTTCGATATTACTATTCTTTTCGCCTCATATCTCTGTTTCCTGTCTCTAATTTGCATTTCTTTTTACTTTCTTCCCTTGCTTTGTGCGCTACATAGTGTGGCGACTTGAACTGCTGCACATCGGTGCAAAGTTCTATGGTGAAATCACTCAATCAGTCAGTGATTGAGGATTGGAATAACGGAACTTTTTCAAATGTTCTTCGTACTGAAGGACGTTAAGTGCTTCACAATTAAGCTATACATCCCTAAGAACATAAAAACACCACAAACAGCCATCTAAATCACAAATCTCCGTTATTTTTAGATCTTATTAACTGTTTAAGAGTCAGTTAAAACTGAAAATGTTACTGAAAAACCATCCCATCAAAACTAGGAAATCTTCAACTTAAATTTCAAAAGCTGTGACGACAACAGGTAAACGATAAAAGAAATATCATCTGTTTAAAGGTCTTTAGTGTTATTTTAAAACTGCTTTAACTCTTAGCTATAAATATGTACACTGAAGGTGAACAAATTTTAGCATTTAATATAACAAAAAAACGTATTAATATTGCAGTGTGAGTTTAAGTAAATAAATATACAGTATGGTTAAATTTACAAGTTTCCGAAAGCACGTATCTATTTTCCACTTTTGTCGAGAGACCGGTAGGAAATTCCTTTGCTTCGTAGATAGTGCACTATATCACTGGGAAGTGTTCCATACACACTGATTGCGTATACTCCAGGTGTCAGTTTATCAATCATTTGCCACCTAGCAACCCAACTATCGTTTGGTGACATCATTGCAAGTAAGCCATCGAAGTTGGCAGAAGAGCATTCATAGACTTTTTCTCGATCACCTTGCATCTTAAGAAAGTCTTCACAATTCTCGCATCCATTTAACTGAAACTGATTAAGAGTCTTCACTAAACCGCACAACAAGCACGCCCTCAATTGACGCAGTTCTGATGGGATAACAGAGTTGACAGCCATTAGACACGAAATAGTTCACCAACTTCTTATGAGTTTATCTGTCAAGAAAACAAGGGACACTTTTAGTGAATGTTAGGTCATCACAACAATTTTAATTTACTGGAAAAAGTGTATCCGGTTATTGTACATTCACATAACCAGGTGAATTATGACACATTCGGAAAAGCTTTAGATCATACTACGGCATAGAGTCAAAATGCTTTAAGATTATCATCGCAGTGAATCTCATTGCTGTGAAACTTTCTATGAATTCACTAAAGTTATATCCTCAAAATTGATTGCTCCTTGACAAAGAGATATTGTGAACTACGCTCAATTTTCCATCATCTACATTCAAATAATAGATGAGCCTTAGAGCTTATTACGAATCTTTAGAAATAAGTAGTGTTAGGCAATGAATGATGCCTACTTTGTAGAGTGAAAAAACTACGTGAATTTGGATACATTCATTTCGGGAGCGTGGTTAAAATTACTACTGATTGCCCGGGAAAGAATGGCGAAGTGAGAAAGTTTGATTATTGTGGAATGAAGCCATTGTCGTACCCATCTTTAAAAGGGGGCCTACGTATTACGTTTGACAGTCACAGGGATATAAGTTCGCTGTCAGTCGCGTCTAGAATATTGGCTGCTGTCTTGATTTGCAGACGGTGTGTGACGCGTGGGGAACTAATCTGCGAGGGGCAGGTTAAATTTCGTTCGGGCTGTGGATGCACTGACCAATACGGTTATCCTTCGCAAGTTTTCAGGAACCGTCACACATTGCAGGCTAACAATCGCTGTCTTTTGATACCAGGGCTAGTTTCGATTCGTTAGAACTGCCCTTTGGAACTGTCTGCTAGAGAAGGGTGTTGCTGAACGTCCTTTAACATCCTGAAAGTCCTACACAAAAATACCTCAGGTAGAATGAGGACATACAACTAACTGTCACCAGAGTTATCAACCAACAAAGGGGCTACAGAGGGTTACTCAATCTCTCCATTTTCTCTTTAAATTAGCAGTTGATGACGTTCTGGAGACAGCTCTGAGGAACGTGAGTGATGATAGTATAGATTTGCTTTCTGGAGACTTCGACTCCGAGTATGCAGACGATATCATCCTACTGTGCGATAAGATGCAGACTGCCCAAATCTCAATCAGTTGGCGATCAGTGCCTATAATTAGGGTGTTGTGAACTTTTCTTATAATACGTATCTAATCATATTCATATCTCTACCGCTATTAACACTCTTTTTCCCCTTTATACGTTTAAGCCATTCCGGCTTCATTGTAAAATGAATAAAGCCTAAATTCTTGGTTCGTTCGTCTTTTCAAGATTCAAGCATCACTCATCGTTCTAAGACTCAGTCACCTTCGTAACATAGGGTATGTGCTTCTTATCACCTAAATGAAAACTATTGTTGAAAGATTAGGACGATTCTATACTTGCACTCAACTTTGCTTGAAATTGTTGACAAGTTCGTATACTTCGGTAGTTGTGATTGCTGGCAGTGCGACGGATAAAATCTCAAATCGTATAGTGAAGGCTAGGGTGGCACACGCCAATTTGGTCCACTTCTGGCGCCGTCGCGAAATCAGCGTGGCTGTCAAAGTCGGGTTTACAGTACTTGAAACACCAGTTTCAATGGCTCAGGCATGTGCTAAGAATTTCATCCCAGAGGCTCCCATAGCACTTGCTGTTTGCTAACCCAGGAAAAAAGCAAGGATGGTCAGCCAATGACATAGTGCTGCAAGATGAAGGATATCTACGTTCGGTTAGTAACCTTTGGTATATCACGATTTCTAGGTTGGGTTCAGAGAGTTAATTAAAACCGGGAGCTCGAAACGCTATTATGGCCAAGAACCCTAATCACTGGCGAACATGCTGCAATTTTCTTCTTTCTCTTTCCGCAAGTAACATGATGAATGTTGAACTATGTTGACAAACATGCTTACTTGCTATCTGGATAGCTTCCCTCACTTATTTTATCCATAATTTTCTTATACATATTTCCTGGTGCCCATAATTACCAAGTTCGTGTTTCTAATGATAATAAATATCTAAAATGAATTATTTAGTGTTTTCCAGCACAACACACCATCGGCGAGTTAACAGTCTGATTAAGATTCAACTATATGCAAGTGCATATGTCCGAAGCAATCACCCATGAACAACAAGCTGATTGCTTTGTAATTCTACTAATTCTTTATCTCATATAATTTCATTAATTACACTAAATGTTATGGATTGATAATTAATTCTGTCTGTCTGGATTCAACATAGAACTTGGCACCGAAGTGCAACAGTTTGAGTTGCCACGTTCCAAATAGCACATAGAGGTAGACAAGAAGATGAGTGAAGAGAATCAATACAGTCTGATAATTAATTATCCAAGTCGAGTATCACACCAAAAAACAGTTGGTATTATATAGTGTAAGTTAGGGGGTCTGAAGATGAAGTTATACTACTGATGCTCGAAGACCAAGCTTAATTGGTAGGAATTACTATGGATCACTTACAAAAGAACGTTAAAAAATACCCCATGGTTGTAACGTTCTTAGGACAGAAGAGTGTAAATACATCGTGTAACCTGTCTCTTGGACAGTGTTGTTGAGCGATTGATACGCAGTGATAGTGAAGGCCTGTTCGCATTTATATCCACCTGGCAGTGGACCACACCTATTGTGCTAAGGTTAATGATGTCACCTAACTTCTTAAGCATTAGTAAGAACAGTGGAGTCCAAACACATGACCTACTAGATGAAAGTCAATCGCGTACAACAATAAACTGCAGATGCATCGACACGCAAATACGTTGTGACTATCGAATGACAATTCAAGCCAACGAATAAATCTCCAGTCTTCTAAAACTTTGTTGTCAATTTCACGTTAACACGGACGCTGAAAATGACAAGTTCCATTAGTGAAAACTCCGTATCTCTAAGATACACTACCTTAACTGAAAAAAATGTATTGGTTGACCTCCCAACAAGGGAAACCAATAAAGCAGTATTAAGACTATAAGCAGATACGTGCAGTTTAAAAGAGGCGTGTACGCGAAAATGAATTTTTACACACAAACAAGTAGCAACATATAAATTCACCAGACCTCTGTCTGCTGCTCTAACTGCTTTCCGCTTATTCCCTCTCCTTCTCAAGATATATATACATATATATCGGCTACTGGCATTTTCTCTATGTTTCAATCCCCTAAACTATGGTACCAAGTGTGGTGTTGGGGCTTCTGATGCTCCAGTAGGTCAATTGGGGTCTATCAATGTCTGGAGTCTTAAATAAAAGATTCAAGGGATTTGTGAATATTTTTTGACACGGAAAGTGTGGTAGTGCTGGAATAAAAGATCCATATACGAATTTCCTTACACTTTTTGATCTTTGGATAGCACCACATCTAGAACACAGAGCGCTCTGCACACTTCTATCCTCCTTGATAGACGTGTGCGGACTGTGCAACAGTATGAAACTATCAACACAAGCAAGAACGGTACTCATGATCTGGACAACCACTGAGTGTAGTAAGAAAATAAAATTTCCGAGCTTTTTCGAGATAGTGAAGAGTTTCGAAAGCTATTAGAAAGCAGTTTTAATTCTGAAGTGAGAAAGCTGAGCTAACTGGAAAACAACTTCGGACATCTACTGAGCCTATACGGATAACATAATGTGTTCTGCTAATAGGAATGAAAAATACTTATTTTTAGTTAGAAACTCATTCTAAATAAAAGCAGACATGGGTAATTTTTGTGATACATAAAATAAGGCCGCTTTTGAAAACATTCACGAACTATTGCTAAAGAGAATTGAGGTTAGGTACAGGTAGGAACTAGAACCTATCACCTAACAAATATGTATGATAAAATGGAGATGAATGGGACACACGCTGAGAATATTGTTGAATAATATCATACGCGAGGCACGCAATCAGAACTCAAATTGGAAATGACGAATAGGGCGTCTACGGTGGCATGGAGATCGTGTGAGGAAAAGACATAAGCTTACGTGGTTATCTAAAAGACTGTGGAGAACAGATTGGCACAGACGTGCAGCTGAATCCCTACTTTTCACTTGTAAATTAAGGAAGTAACTGGCTACGAATATCCAACTTGCTAAAAATCACACACTTCCCACCAATACAATTATCTGACTGTAAACAGGAAAAAGGAGATAAAGGGCTGATACATGCCGAGTGAAGAGTTAAAGGAGTGAGGAGAACGAACGCACAAATGAATACACCAGGTGTATATTCAGTAAGTGTATAAACTTTTGGATGTGTATGACACTGCCGTGAGTGATAATATCAGTGAAAAATTCAAGTCGCTATTGAGTGATTGGTTAACGAACCATTATATATAACGCCAGTGAACTCCTGAGGTTTCATACAGGAGAAACAGGACAGGGAACTAAATTCAACTGTACTCAAATTTGAAGTTTTATAATAGATCAGTCCGTCATGTGTATGTAACGAACGGAAGTATATACTTCCATTTATAACTGGACTTTCATTAAGATATAATAAGTACTGATCACTTTAAAGTGTTCGAAGTCGCTAGATGAAAATTTCTCAGAAAAAGTGGTGCATTCCACATAGAATTGCTTGAATCCTAAGCAATGTCATTGATGATATCTGATTGTTCTGTATTGTAAGGACAAATTTCGACTTAGATTTCACACTCGTTCTGAAGATTACTACAGATATGAAGGAAGAGGGAAAACTAGTAGCTACAAATAAACTAACAGCAATACATAGAGAAAGAACCAACCAACTAGGTGTTTGAGACGTCTCTAATTGTCCGTAGCGGGAACAAAGGAAAAACCGCCCATATCCAATAGCACGTGTTTTTGCAATAAGCTTTGTAATGGGATGATGTCGCTCCGTGAGCTTGCATATGCAGTTTCTTGAAATAAATTTAGGGATGTAGACGAAATAAATGAAGTGTATGACAACAACATTGGTGCGCGAACTTTGAAAACGAAATGAGTTACACACGATCTGTTTTGATTTCGCTTTTGTTGTGTTATACACTCCAAAAGTCTGTAGATTGACTTTAAATCAGTTTATTCTGATCGAAGTTAGTTTAATTTCAGTTTTGAGTCGATTTAACTATAGGAAGATTGCTCTTGTAACGTTACAGTATTTTTTATAAAAAAAAAAAAAAGCGGATATTAAATATGTTATAAATTTTCCCTTTTTTTTCCTACTATAAAAACAAAATACCAAACTTTTTATTAAAAAAAAATATATAATTAAATAACCTTTTTTAAAATTTCTATTTCCAACCTTACTTAAATTTTTAACCTTCTTTTTTTTTTTTTCTAAAATGAGGAGAAATATTTAATCCCTGTAAAAATGTTTTCTCTCCCTTAAAATTATAATATTTTTATTTTCCTTCCCTTCTATTAAATGGAGTAAAATGCCCCCTAAGGGAAAAACATGATAGACTTTTTTTTTTTTTTAAGTTAATTTTTTTTTTTTTTATTTATTTTTTTTTTTTTATTTTTTTTTTTTTTTTTTTTTTTTAAAAAATTTTATAATTTATGAGGTAATTAGATGCAATATACTGTAATGCACGCTGAAAATTCCATACCTGTACCACAAATACTGTTTGGAATAAAGCTGTTATTATTATTATTATTATTATTATTTATATCCATTCTCGTACACATATTGGTTTATTTATCTCTGATTAATATAGAGGCCATATGATAAGGTCTAGTCTTAATTCACTCTTAAAAGTATACCTATCAAAAAGAACCACTTCGGAAGAGTTATGTGTTAATTCCCAGTTGAAGAAGTTATTCAGTGTGATATCTGCATGAGATGGTTTTACAACAGGAGTACAAACCTAACACCTGCAGCATGCAAGCGCTGCTACGAACCTCTGGCGAACTGCCTGTGCAATGACTGCTGCGGTACGACTAATTTTCATATTACAGAGGCCACTGCCACACTCAGCAGGGCCATAAAGCCCCTGGACTTCAAATATTCTCTATCACAGAAGAAGAGCGACTACTGCTCAGACACCGATGACGTGGCTGGCGTCATCAACAAGATGGGACACGTCTCTGTCACAGAGTGAGTACTTCTCAAGGCAGAAGAGCACCCACCATACTACGGACATCCACGCTGCTCCTACGATACCGGGTGAGCCCTCCAGTGACAGTAATGGAAGGGCTGGCACGAGGAAAAGTCGTTCCAGGGGTCGAAAACCCGCAGCTTAAGTCGCCCAGAGATTGCAGACCAAGCTTTATCCACACCTGTATATAGCAGGCAGATAGAGCTGACGAAAGATGGCTAGGAGATGCGAGCCAGTGGCGTAATTTATTTTCATGCAAAAGGCGATACAAGACACCATACGAAGGGTGGAAAGATACCTACACTGCAGAGCGAAAAAGCCATAGCAAGCAAACCTGATGTCAATCACGTCTCATAAACCGTTAATGCCCAGCTCTCGCTACGCTCGGGCCCACGCTGTTCTTCGAAGATTTCGGAAACGCTTAGTTATAACGGACGCAAAAACCAAAACACCGATCTGCCGTTTAATGTTTCTTTATTGTTACACCAACATATAAAAAGAATAAGCGAACTAAGATTTCTGACGATGTTTCACTCTTCTTTCTGAACAGCGACCGATGAGACGATGACTGTCGTATTGATGCCTCCGCGAAAATTGGGGAAGTTGACTTTAAGCAAACAACCAAGAATTGATCGTTCAATCTTCAACTCCATTGACACCTGATCTCTCCGACAGGTCACCCATCCTCTACAAGGTGGAAGGATCACTGTTTTCGGATCCCAAGGTTAGGTTTACGCGTGACCTTAACCTAGCCAACCCCTCCTAGATAAGCTCCTGCCAACAAGGGTATCAGGTGCATCATTACATAGCTAGGACAGAATCGACCAGAAGCCTGACTCTAGAGTAAATCAGCCGGTACACATTCTGAAAGTCGTATTGAACAATTGAACATAGGAGGATGCTATACTAATCAACTCCCAAACACTTAAATGATCATGCTTATACGTCTGTGCCGACTTTTATCTAACAGACCGCGTCAGAAGGTATTCTGTGGCTCTAGAATTAAGCAAACGGCGCCGAAATGGCAGAAATTCCTGAAGACTAAGGGTTTCTGGGTACTCGGATTTCGAAGTTTGATGATTCCGAAATCTCTATCGGTAGGTTGCAGAAGCATCAAACTGGGTAAGTGGTTTGCTACACAAATGCCTACAGCCTGTTGAACTAGCGGGCTTAGCTGAGTAAAGTGATAGGAGACCAGGACATAGTCATCATCACAGAGACATTACTCAAATCTGATACCACTGATAACGAAGCTAACCTTTCAAACTTTATGGTGTATAAGGTGAAGCTACAGAGTAAATGTCTGACCGTGCGTAGCACCGAAGCTCTCACACACGTAAGTGGAACGTGTGAACTTCTACGCTACAGACCTGAATGCATGTGATTTCGGTAGCCCAAATTTTGCAGGCTGACCATAGATATCAGGTGTTCGCCGGCAGAGGATCGTACCACGGCCCATTTACATGGTTAGCGCGAGTCCTAACCACTGTGCCACCGACACACATCTACCTCATTATAATCTTTTTGCTCAGACACTGTTATGCTAGATTTTATCTAAATTACCTAGGCCTTCAATAAAGCTGAAACACGCTTTCGGTTCAAATTCTTTGCTTGCTTAAAGTGTGATCGCTGTGATGGAAAAAACACAAAAACAGCGCCAATGTTGGAGTAAAGATATATTTTCACCGAAAACGCCATAGTTTTCGTGGTGAGACCAATATGGCTGGCGTTAAACATTACAAATGTAAACTATCATTTCACGGAGTCTCCGGCATCTTCTTATATTTCCAATGATTTATTAGACACAATTGTATTTTATACCCACTTGCAGTTTCCTAGGACTTTCCCGTCATCCTGAGATAGATTTCAATCACGCGGGGGGTATCCAAATATACCTTGTTCACTCGTTGACCATAACTGTCAATATGAAACGGGACAAAGTTTGGGTTTGAGCCAAACCTCTATGATGGCTTAGATGAAGAGTTTAAAACTTAACATTGATGCAAACCTGTTGTGATTGCTAGTAAAATAACCGAATGATTTAAGCTTTTGAAAAAGTGCTAATTTACGATATTTTATGATTGTAATATTTGACATAACTGATCGTGCCTGTAAAACTGGCATGTATTCCTTGCAAACTTATCCGTGTATACGAAATATACATTATTGCCATTAATAAAACCAGAGTCTGACGTAGAAGCCACATGGAATCGGTTCAAACAGCTGTACGCTCAAACAATCGAACCTTTCATCTCTTTGTCTGTCCATTGCCTCTCTTGGATAAACCAAGAGATAAGTAAATTTATCAAACGCAAACACAAATGTCGGAACCTGTTTGCCACACTTGAGACTTGACGTTATACGACAATGATGGGAATAAAGCTATCGCAGAAATCCGCCAATCAAGGATGATGTTCGAATAACGTCTGCCTGAAAATGCAAAGGCATAAACAAAGAAAATTTTCTCGTACATAAACTTCAGGAATAAAACATCCAATGATGCCCCAAGCCAGACTATTGACATTGGTACAACCGAAGATGATCGAGAAAAACCAGAAACAATAGCAGACTACTCCTTCCAGTTCTTTGCAGAAAAGTCGTTACACCCAAATGATTGTAACAACAGAAGACAAGGGCCAGGTGACAGATCATTTTATTAAGAAAATCAACGCGTATATATGTATATTTTATGTACATCAATAAGGCTTATGCAAGCAGAAAAAGGCAGTCTTCTAATTGGTTGTTTCTCGGAAGTTAAGCAGACAAACACAGTCTCCTGATTGGTTGTTTTCGATATTTCTCGGAAAGTAGAGCCATTTATCTGCGAATCATATTTGCCCACGTTTAAGTCTGCTGTATTGGTTGTTGAATCAGCCTAGATTAATGTCTACCAATCAGCGTCGATTAATGTCTACCAATTGGCTAGCAGCCTGCTCTCACCACACTCGTCCCCCCGTCAAATAGCTTCGTACGCAGACGTTCCGACCTTCTGGGTGCTACATCCTCTAGTTGAGGATTGTTACTGATCGGCTTGTCCCACTGTACCCATCTTTGGAGCTGACTGGCGTTAACTCGTTTCTGTTTATCACCTCTTCGGATGGTATATACTTGACCCCGTCTTTTTGTGATTGTGTATGGTCCTTCCCACTTTGGAAGGAGTTTCCGTGAACCTAGCCCGCCTCCAACTGTATATCTCCTGTCTCTACACTTCACTTGGTCCCCGACTGCAAAGGTAATGCACTGCGTCCTTTCTTTCATCTGAGACTTCGCGACATCACTCCGCTGCTTCCGTATTACATTCTTGACTGCCTCTTTCCTCTCTGCTTTTAATTTCATCGTACTCCACTTTTGGTGCATGGGCCAGGTCTCATTGTGTATCGGTAATCGTGGTTTTCTACCATACATCAGTTGGAAGGGTGACTTCTTCGTTGTTTCCTGAGTGGTAGCCCGATGTGTTAGTAAAATCAGTGGAAGCTCCGTTTCCCAGTTCCCGCCCTTCGAGGCCAGCCACTCCTTCAGTGTACGGTTGTTTCTCTCCGTTAGGCCATTCGTTTGTGGATGGTATGGGGTCGTTCTGATCCTCTTGATGCCCAGCTGTTGCAAACGGGAAGTAAACTCTTCACTCTCGAAACAGGGACCTTGGTCTGTCAGTATTGTCTTCGGTACGCCGTGGTCTGCAACAATGTGTCTAACTACTGCATCTGTCACGG